TTACTTTCTCAACACAGAGGAGAGTTTTGTAATGTTAACTCAATACACTGGAGTTGAAATATCAAGAGTTAAAATCTATCTTAAAGGTGTTAAATTGTAACTCTTTACACTGGTGTTAAGGAAAAATCAACTCTCTCTGGTGTGGACCAGAGTTGTTTTTTAACTCTATACCGTGTACATATAACTCATTCATAGTGTTAAACAAGTAACTCTTTGAAGAGTGTTAATGTAACTGAAAAGATTGGGACAATATGTACACTTTTTCGGAGTTGATTTTAACTCTTCTAAAAGTGAACTGTCACGTTGTCAAGTGCGGACATGTTAATAAACAACTGCTTTGCGAGCTGCAGTGTAATTGTGATTTAAAAAAAAAAAGTTTAACATTTTTTGTATGTAGTTTTTTTTTTAATCTTCTGGCAGCTTTTTTTACTTTCTCAGCACAGAGGAGAGTTTTGTAATGTTAACTCAATACACTGGAGTTAAAATATCAAGAGTTCAAATCTATCTTAAAGGTGTTAAATTGTAACTCTTTACACTGGTGTTAAGGAAAAATCAACTCTCTGTGGTGTGGACCAGAGTTGTTTTTTAACTCTATACCGTGTACATATAACTCATTCATAGTGTTAAACAAGTAACTCTTTGAAGAGTGTTAATGTAACTCTGAAAAGATTGGGACAATATGTACACTTTTTCAGAGTTGATTTTAACTCTGTTAGAGTTGAATTAACACTCATAATTTTGCTGTGTAGGAAGACAATGTATAGCTTAGCAGATTCGTGCTTAAAATCGTCAATCGCAGTTTTTAAGCAAAAAAACATGCTCATTCATGCCTTGTCGCTCAATATAAGCTTTTTGTTTGTTAGACAAAATTCCAGCATCAACCAGCCAAGGTAGTATTCTTGAAAGCAGGCACTTCATAAAGACTTTGTATACAGATGGCAATAGTGAGATGTTCTTCCATGTTGAGGGGTCTTCTGGTACATTGTCTTTCTTCGGTATTCTATGAATGAGTGCTCCCTTCCATGAACTAGGGACTTTACCAGTAATCAAACAGGTGTTAAATATGCTTTTCAATATGTAGCAGGATGTTTGCCTAGTGGCTTTCAGATTCTCGTAAGTAACACCATCTGAACCGCTGGCTTTGTTTTTGCTCTACGATGCTGCCATAGGTAGGTTAGTTTGTTTTTGCCTACACTGTAAAAAATGACCGTGAATTTAATGATAAAAGACTGTAAAAATGCTACAGTAAAAACCTGTTAAATGGTTAACGGTAAATTCCCCTACTATATACGGTGAAA